ACCCGGAAGAGGCTGGCCGGCCTCGCAGGTGCGGGAACCTAGGCCAGGCGATAGCCTCGGTCTGAAAGGACTCCCTGGTGCTGTGTCCACAAGGGCGGAGGTTTTCCGCTCGTTGGGTGATCTCAGGGTCATCATAGAAGCACTGCCAGGGGAATTATTTGGACTGCCTGTCACCCCTCTGGGTCTCACTATGTAGTGCAGGCTGGCCTTGAACTCACTGTGTAGTCCAGGTTGGTCACGAACTCAGCGATCCTCCTGCCTCAAGCTCTAGAAAGCTCGGATTGCAGGCTTGCAGCCATGCCGGACTCTAGGACATACAATTATTAGTAAGTGTAAGAAAACCTAATCAGTTAATTCAATAAATATTTGAACCTTTTAGTAAGGTTGCCAGATAAAATACAGGATGCCCATTGACATATGAGTAATAGATAAATAGCTGTGTGATGTTCATGTCCGAAATACTGCAAGAAACATTTATTTAAAAAAAAAATGTTGGGCCTGGGATTTAGCTCCGTGGCACCGTGCCCACCTTGCAAGGGCAAGGTCCCGAATTCAATCCCTGGTACCAAAAAAAAAAGGTTGATTATCCAAAAATGAAAAGTTATTAAGCATCTTGTATTAGTATTTGCTAATCCTGGCAATCCCGAGCCAGGTGTGGTGGTGCACACCTGTAATCGCAGCATCAGGAGGCTGAGGCAGGAGGATCACTATGATTTTGAGGCCAGGCTGGGCTACATAGCAAGACTATCTCAAAATATATACATATACATACACATGTACATACATATACATATGATTCTAGCAATCCTACAATTTCTACACACCAGACTTTGTTCTAGGCTCTAGAAACAAAAATCCCAATCTTTGAGCAGCATCTATTCTTTGGTTTTTTTTGGTTTTTGATTTTTTGATACAAGTGTCTTGCTGTTTTGCTCAGGCTGGTCTTGAACTCTAGTCCAGACTGGCCTCAAACTCACAGAGGAAGCTACTGCCTCAGCTTCCTGAATTTGGAGGTTACAGGCATGTGTCACCACACGCAGGTGTAGGATCTGTTCCTGTGATATAAAGCAAAAGTCAAAAAGCATCAAGCCGGGCGTGCTGGTGAATGCTCGTGATCCCAGAAATTGGGATCTTGAGGCAGGAGGATCACTGTGAGTTTAAGGCCAGCCTGGGCTACATAGCAAGACCTTGTCTCAACCCCCTCTCCCAAAAAAGAAGAGAGTTCAGGTTCTCACCTTTACCTAATTGCCCTTATGGGCTTATTCCAATACTATTGGACATGAGATTGGATGGATCCTAACTACTTCTAAACTTTTAAAAAGGAAAATTGGCCTTTGCATAAGCAATATAATTCGTACGCTGTAGAAGACTAATGTTTTAGGGTCCAGTCTACGCAGTATTCTCCAAGTGCTCATGCATGCTTAGTGAGACCCTGTCTCAAAAAAAAGGGAGGAGCAATGCAGGAGATGTGACTTAGTACAGAAACCCTGTTGTTTAATCCCCAATGCCACAAAAAAAAGGGGTGGGTAGCCGGGAATTTAGCTCAGTGGTATGGTGCCTGCCTTGCAAGCACAAGGTCCTGAGATCAATCCCTGTATCCGAAAAGGGGGTGGGGACTGGACCTCTGGGAGCAGATCTTATAACAGTAGCTCAGTCAATCCTTGAGGAGTCTTGCTGAAGAAGAAAACCAGATAAGCGAGGGTGCCAGACAGTTCCAGGGAGGTGGCCACGGCAGCAAGACAAAAGGAAGAGAAACCAATGCAGGAGGTGAAGAAGCAGTGGAGAGGCAGGGAGACCAGGATTGTGGAGAATTGTTGGAATCAGGAGAGGAGAGACAATGCAGGAGGAGGAGATGGTCAGTGAGGTTAACTCCCAAAGAGAAACTGAGAAGGTGGATGCATACAATCAAAGCGCTGATACGATGAACAAAAACAGTAGAAATAGCCCTTAACCACACCAGATACAAGAGGCAGAAGAGACTGAGAGGAAGAAAGGTAGAGACAGATAATGTTTGGGAAAAGAAAAGGGATTTGGCTAATTGCCATCAGAGCACTGAAGGGTTTTTGAGGTAGGACCCATAAATCACAAGGGATAAACCGGAGTGAAAACCTGATGAAGAAAGGTGTCTTTGTTTTTGTTTGGCTTTTTGAGACAGGGTCTCACTTTGTAGTTCACACTGGCCCTGAAATCATTATGTAGCCCAGGCTAGCCTCAAATTCCCAGCGAATCTCCTGCCTCAGCCTCCTGAGTGCTAGCATTACAGGCATGTGCCACTACTCCTGGTGATTTTTTTTTTTTTTAAAGCAAAACATTTATTGGAGGCAACCCACTTTCTGGTCCCCCTTCTGTCTTCTTAGACAGAAACTTCCTTTGTCTCAATAAATTTTTCCTCCTGTTAAAAAAAAAATCTATTGGTTCCTTTTAGGGCCAAGGATTTAGCTTAGTGGTTCCGCTGCCAGCCTTGCAAGCACAAGGTCCGGAGTTCGATCTCCAGTACCAAAAAAAAAAAAAATGTGTTACAGTTTCGATAGATATAATGATACCACTCATCATAGGTAATTTGCACCTGCACATGATATATCCTGCCCCTTTTTTTTCCCATTCCGTCCCATCAAACCCCCTCCCCTCCCTTATAAAAAAAATGTTTGCTTTCATTTTTTTCTCTTCTCTTTTTTCCCTTGTCCCTTCTTTCCTTTCTCCCTTCTCCCTTATTACTCTTCCCATTGTAAGACCTGAAGTCTCACTTCCACTCCACGGAGCGTGAACAGCCAAAAAGGCCTCCATGATGCTGGGCCCTAACACCCAGCGAGGCTCCGGAAGCTCGACGGAGAAACGAAACCCAGG